CTGCTATTTTATTACTATTTTTTTTAGTTGTTCCACATGGCTAAAAAGATATTTCTGCCAAGGGCTTCTCCTCCTTCTTTACTCTAACCATTTGGTTCTCTTCTTTTTTTATTAAAAAAACAACAACAGCGCCATCTAAAAAAATTAGAAGGCCGGCGTCTAGATTACGATTACAAAAGGAAACGTCTCGGGAAGATTCCAGACGAGGAAGTGAAGCAAGCCATTGAGAAGTTTGAAGAGTCCAAAGAGTTGGCAGAACGGAGCATGTTCAACTTTTTGGAAAATGATGTAAGCTCCTCGCCTTGCTGTTTGAGGGCGAGACATATAGTATCTGCGTGGGTGTTTGTGGCGCATGTGATGTGGTGCAACTAGTTATTGTGAAGATGATCAGGTTGCCCGTACTCTGAGCACTGCCTACTCTTTTCCAAACAAGAAAGCAGATGAAACCTACGAATGATTGTGCAGTTCACCCGTTCCTGCCATTTTTAAACAGAGTAGCGGGCAGTCTACACCTCTTCAACCTGTTATCTGTCTCCCCTGTAGTTTGGTGATGCAATTTCTTGCTATTTTAAAATGCAGGAAACGGGAAACGCATCTAGTATTATCCCTAAAATAGTTTTAACTCCCGCCTCCCTCCAGATCCTGAGGCATTTCTTACCTCCATCCCTTTATCATCTCTTCTGCATCAGCTGTATGCAAAATGTGGCTTTTGAAGAGGTCAAACTGGGCCCAGTTCTACTTACTTCAAACTGCTTTATGAAGTGCTGCCCTCTCGTGGCTTTTAAAATTAGAAACTCGATCGTACTGTACAGGTAAATCCTTGATTTATGACCGTAATTGAGCTCAGAATTAACAGTTGTAAATCATGTCATTAAGTGAATCCTCATCCGATTTTATAAACTTTTTTTGCAATTGTCGTTAAGTGAACATGGCCGTTGTTAAGGGAATCGATTGCACACAATGGGCATTTTTTTTGGCTGCAAAATGGAAGTAATAGCAATAGCATTTAGACTTATATGCTGCTTCACAATGCTTTGCAGCCCTCTCTGAGCAGTTTACAGAGTCAGCCTATTGACATCCAACAATCTGGGTCCTCATTTTTACTGACACCAGTTCTTGGCAAAAAAAAAAAAAAGGCAGAAATCGTGATCCCATCAAGAATGCTGCAAAGGGTCACAAATGTGGGTCAGTTTCTGAGCACCCAAAATGGGATTGTGTGACCCCAGGAGGAAACCTTAGAGCATCAAATCGAAGTTTTAAGATAGTCAAGGACTATCTGTATAGGACAGTGGTGGCGAACCTGTGGCATGGGTGCGTGCCCTCTCTATGGGCACGCACACTGTTGCCCCAGTCCTAGGCCTTCAGCTGGGTTTTATAAAACCTTTTCGCTTTAGGCCTCCCCCGCTGTGTGCAAAAAAAAAAAAAAAAGGTTCAATCAATCAGTCAATTTCAACTTCTCGCGGGAAAAAAAAGATCTTGCAAAGTTGGAATTGATTGATTGAACTTTTTAGTCCCACCCAGTCTGCCATTACCACCGTAGCCATGCCCCCCACGGGCCATGCCCACCCAATGGGCCACGCCCACCCGGCACCCGACGATGCACAAGTGGGTTTTGGGTTGCAGTTTGGGCACTCGGTCTTTAAAAGGCTCGCCATCACTGGTATAAGAGTTTCAGATCTTGTCATCATAAGAGAAAAATTCAGAGTCAGGAGGTTTACCCTCATAAAATCTCCATTTCTGCATCTCACCGCAGTTTCTTCACAGTCTCTTCCAACCTTATTTTATGCAACCCCTTTTTGAACTAGGGCGTTCTATGCAGAAAGAGTAAGAAAACTATGGAAAACACTGAATTACAAATGGCAATGTATGTATGGTTGACACAGAAGAGGCATTGATAGGTTAAGGTGGAAAATCCTTGAAAGCCATTTTATCTGATTCATTTCTTCAGTGATACTATTCTAAACCAGACGTCCCCAACCTTTTAGGCACCAGGAACCAGTTCCGTGGAGAGAGCTTTTTCCACAGACCGGAAAGTGCATGGTTTTGTGTGCTGCCTGCATCCCGCGGATGAGGCTTTGCTTGTTTGTGCGGAGCGGTTGCTGGCATGCCACGGCCCAGTACACGTCCATGGACGAGGGATTGGGACTCCTGTTCTAAATTCTCCTTGTTCCTCGACAGTTCTTCCCATTCTTTCTCTTGCACTAATAAGCCACAATGAATAAGAATCTCCTGCTTTTTTTGAGTCCATGCTTTCTCCACCTTGTTTGGAAAATCATTCACAAACTCTCTCTCTCTCTCTCCCCCTCTCCCTCCCTCCCTCCCTCTCTCTTTGATTCCCTTTTTTTATTAAAAGTTTTTAAAATTTTACAATAAAAACCCTTTCCCCAATCCCTCCCAACCCTCCCCAAAACCCTCCCTCATTCTTCCCAAAGCTGAATACAGGCTTAACTAGAACTTAAAAGAAATTTTTTTTTTAAACCCAAATAAACCTTAAACTAATATCATTACACTCAATAAACAAGTTATAACATACTTTAATCTTTGATTCCCTTTTTATAGATAGAGCAAGTGTGTCAGCTGTTAGTCTTAGTAGAAGCCGCGCTGGATTATCACAAACAGTCTGCAGAAATTTTGGAGGATCTGCAGAGCAAGCTACAAAATCGGTAAGCCTAATCATGGTTTGGTTACTTTGCAAACTCTCTGAAGAAGTGCTATCCAAGGGCTGGCCTTCCAGATGCTGAGCCAGTTTTGTTAACCACAACTGGCAGATGTACCACAAGTTGACTCTAGGGCCCTGTCATGGTGCAAACGTCTGGCACCTCAGAAGTTAGGACAGGGGTAGGCAACCTTGGCTCTTTTATGACTTTCGTCTCCATCCTGGTTTCAGGATAAATGTGGCTTCAAGTCGCCCTAAACGTGAATTTAAGCCCAAACCAATCACACGGACGCATCTGGAAATAAGCAATGGTCAACCACACATTGGAATTTCCTTCAGTCCATCAATTAAATCATCAGGTATGTAATCATGGGGTCTATGGAGATTCTCAGTCATCCAGGTCATTCGTGTAAGTTGGGATAGAACAGAAGCCATCTTGCTGGTTTTTCGGTTGCCACAAGATTGGGGGAAGGAATGAAGAGTTTTATGCTAGCCTAAACCAAGGGTCCTCAACCTGCAGTCCGTGGACCACAGCATGCCAGCAACCGGGCTGCACAAACAAGTAAAACCCCATCCATGGGATGCAGGCAGCACACAAAAACACGCACCCTCCAGTCTGCAGAAAAACCTCTCTCCACGGAACTGGTCCCTGGTGCCCAAAAGCTTGAGGACCTCTGGCCTAAACAATTCTCTGTCCCATGGGAACCAAGGTCATTTCTGTTCCCTTGGCTGGGGTGGGTAGTGCCTAATGTTAGAAAGCCCGCCAAACTATTCTGTTGGGAAACGTAATTGATTGCATAAGGGTGGGAAGTTGAACTTTGTAATACTGTTGCTTTCTGGAGGGAACTTCAGTCTTGGTTTCACTTTTGACGGTGCCCGATACTTTGCGACCAAATAAACGTGTTCTTTGAGGAAAGCTCAAGCCTCGGAGTTCTGCTTTCATTGGTCTCATCTGTTGGAACCACGAGATCGGTATTAGAACGTTTATCATCTTGATCTTTGTTGCAAATGAAATGAGACAAAATAAAGCACCCTGAACATCTCGGATTGCTTATCCTGACCAGGTTCTTCATGCCACATGGACCAGCCGTGCTGCCAAGCCTTGTACGACTTTGAGGCTGAAAACGAAGGGGAGCTTGGCTTTAAGGAAGGGGACATCATCACGTTGACCAATCAGATTGACGAGAACTGGTACGAAGGCATGTTGAAAGGTGAATCCGGCTTTTTCCCCATCAGCTACGTTGAAGTCATTGTCGCCCTGCCGCAGTGAATGTGTCCTTCTCACGCTAGCGATGCAACCAAAAAACAGAGCCCAGAGCGGTGTTTTCATTTGTGCGGCGTACTACAAAAGCCTGTGCTTCCTTTGACCAACTTAACTGATTCTTTTGTACGCGTTTTTTAAGAAATATATTTATTTTGTATCCCTGCAATGTGTAAATTATTAAGCTCTTTCTTTCGATTGCCAGCAAAGAAGAGCAGCCAAGCCCGATCCTGTGCTTTTGTGCCTTGAAAATCTCCCTGAGGCTTTTTTTTCTGAAAATGAAGCTATTATGCCGATTATGGCAACAAGAAGCCATGCATCAAGTGATGAATTTTATTTGTGGGTACCATTTTTTTTAGCTACCCTAAGTTTGTTCATCATTGAGCCACTACTGTTACCCTGAACTGAACTGTGAAAAGCTAATACTTACCACGTGCTATATTTTGACTAGAGAAGATTACTTCCTTGATACTCCTGTATTAAGTCCACGTTACCCTCAAACGCTTAACTCTTCACTGACCAGAAGTAATAAAACATTTTTGTGGGAAATTTATTTCCTTTGCGTCTTACCAGGTATATCGTTCTTGGTCTACCAGCTTCACAACATCTGACATACCCAGCGCTAAACTTTGGCACTTCGAGTTTTTGGATTGTGAACGAGCTTTGTGAAAAATGATTGAGGATAAGAGCAAACGTGTGTTCTGCCACTTCTCTGTGGGATCCTGTTTTAGTAGTTATCAGCTTAGTTATTACGGCAAGTCTGGTATCGCTCCTATGGTATAAAAGATTCTTTAATCCTCTTTTTTTCGTACCATTTCTGATCTGTTTTCCACCTATCCATTTAAGTCTCAAAAATCCAACTTTTTTTGCTCAAGCTAACCAGCACTGCTACAGAGGAGTATGCTGCTGAGATCAAATCTTGCTAAAACCAACTATATAATATATAGCTAAGGATAAAACTAAACTCGTTCCTCTTCCAAAATGCACAGTAAGATATTCATTTTCAAAGCATCACAACTTGCTATTGCATTGGATGAAACAAGGCTCTTGAAACAAAACAGTAACTTGTTTAACACCGTAGTGTTGTTTTCAACAATCCAAATGACTTTTATTCCAGTATGTCTTACAGCAGTAAACTTTTTTTTTCTAAAGCCCATAAGCAAAGCGACCAGCCTTCCTAATTATTATAGAAAGGAGCTATTTCAGATTTCAGGGGAATTTCATTTAACAATTGATAGTTTTTTCCCCCTTTTCTCCCAAACTATGGAAGCTACTAGCTGCTAATCAAGTTATTACAGCTAAGTCCCAATTTTATTAAGTAGTTTCTCATAAATGGAGATGTGAGCTATGCGAGTTTAAAAATATAATAAAGTAAAAATTTGTCAAGACAGTGGACCACGTTTGGAGAATGTTTCACCCTCTTGAAATAACACACGGACAAAATAAGATTTAAGCCTGCCAAATACTGTACAGAGTTTGTTTTAAACTCCACCGTAAAGAGCCATCAGCAGAAAGGAAATATCTTTAATAGAAAGCAAGTGTTTACCGGATTTGTGCTTTTAATAAGGCCTACACACAACTAGAAGTACCTAAACAGCAAGTACAACAAACTGTTTAGATCTGCTAAAATATCAGAAACCTGCCACCATTAATAATTTAACCATTTCTAAAAGTGTCTATTGAAGAAAATACAACTGAAAGGAATCCTTCCAGAAAAATATATCTATTGTGTTCAAGAACCCTATCCTACACTGAAGCCGATAGGAACAGAAGCATTCTTTGGCCATTAATTAATACAAGAGTCCTAAATAGTTCTGAATTTTAGGTTACACTAAAATGAGGTTCTTACTTGTTCCCAGCTGGCCACAAAATGGAAAGTCCCTTAAGGCTCATTGAGGCAACTCCGAGATAGTCATAATCAAGATGGTTGCATCTGCCTTAATAATGCAGATCCTTACATATAAGTCTTTCACCAGTTGGCCATTAGGAGTCACAAGCCATCTTGTCCTTGAAGTCAAGAAGAGCGTAGGAAAGTTAGAGCATCAACTCTCAGGGCCAAGTCAAACATCTCTGAAGCAAATTTTCAGTTCAGTTCAAGCTTCTCAAGTAAGGCATCAACTTCTGGTTACATTATGGGACAGATGTGAGTCTGATTCTGCTGCAGGAAGAAACGGACAGTTTAGGTTTGATGATCTCCAGCTTGGAGGGTTGTTACGCATTTGCACAATTATTTCAGTACACAGTACACAGTTTACAACTCAGCAATACTGGGAGGAAAAGATAATCCTCATCTCTTCGGTAAGTTTGCAAGATTCCTAAAAAAAACCCATAGCTGCTTTTTTTTCTTTTTTTAATCTGAGTATGTCAAGGAGGCGAGAAGAACATTACTATTTTTTTTATTAAATTGGTATGCCACTCTGATGAGGTGACTGGCTGGTTTACAAACCATAAGAAGAAGATAAATGGGAAATTTAAAAATTTAAAACTATGCAAAAGAACCTAGAACTAGATGAGAGGAAATCTTCTTACTCTTATCTTCGCAGAGTAAGTTACCTCTTACTCTCAACCACCTCCAGCAATGAGTAACCTGCTTGAGACCCCAAGACAACTGGGAAAAATTGGGTTAGTCTTTTAATGCCTTTCAGAAGGCCAAAAGGAAAGGGACAGTTCTCATTTCTGGTGGTAGAGCATTCCAAAAAAAGTCAGGTCCACAACAGAAAAGACTTCTCTTTGACCCCACCTGCCGGAATTCTGTAGCAGGCCTCTTCCGCTAGCATGAATGAGGCAGTCTGGCCCCATTGGGGTGACTAATGTGTCTATTACTGCACTTTTGGAAACTTCTCCACCCCAATATGAGCCAGCAATGTGCAGCAGCAGCCAAAAAAGCTAATACAGTCCTGGGTTGCATAAACAGAGGCATAGAATCAAGATCACACGAAGTATTAGTACCACTTTATAAAGCCCTAGTGAGGCCACACCTGGAACACTGCAGCCAACTTTGGTCATCATTCTACAAAAAAGATGCTGAGACCTTGGAAAAAGTTCAGAGAAGAGCAACTAAGATGATCCAAGGCCTGGAGACTAAAACATATGAAGAACGGCTGCAGGACTTGGGTTTGGCTAGTCTAAAGAAAAGAAGAAATAGGGGAGACATGATAGCAGTGTTTCAGTATTTGACAGGGTGCCACAAAGAAGAGGGCATCAAATTATTCTCCAAAGCACCAGAGGGCAGGACAAGAAACAATGGTTGGAAACTGACCAAGGAGAGAAGCAACCTGGAATTAAGGAGAAAGTTCCTAACAGTGAGAATAATTAACCAGTGGGACCGCTTGCCTCCAGAAATCGTGGGTGTTCCATCACTGGAGGTTTTTAGGAAGAGACTGGACAGTCACTTGTCTGAGATAGTATAGGTTCTTCTACTTGAGCAGGGGGCTGGACTAGAAGACCTCCAAGGTCCCTTCCAGCTCTATTCTAAACTGGCATTTGAAGAAAATACATCCCCATCAACCAAACGAGAACCCAAGGATGCAGTTCTCATTGTCAACATGTAGATGTTCAGTTAAACGCACCTGGCAATGAATTTGTTTCTTGGTTTCTTCTGTAGCCTCTTCCATTTCTCCATCACCTTCTCCTCTTTCCAGATACATGATCATACCTTCAGCAGTTTCCTGAAAGTAAGAAGATGTTGATTAACTTTTTTTAAAATTTATTTTTGTGCCTACAAGTTACGTCTTTGCTTCTGACAACTGCCTGGATAAACCCATACGGTTTTCTTTGCAACAGTTTTGTGTTCTTCTTAGGCTGAGAGTGAGTGACTGACCCAAATGTCTAAGCTGAAGACCAGAACTTGTGGTCTTCTGGTTTCTAGGCTGGTGCCTTTAAGCCAGAGGTCTTCAAACTTGGCTCTTTTATGACTTGTGGATTTCAATTCCCAGAATTCCTCAGCCAACATGCCTGGCTGAGGAATTCTGGGACTTGAAGTCCACAAGTCGTAAAAGGGCCAAGTTTGAAGACCCCTGCCCTATACCATTTCAGACAAATGGTATAGGGACAAACTCTTACATGAGTTACACTTGAAAAATACTTAACAGTTTAAATTTCATTCACCCCATTTTTTAAAGAAGACGTGATTGTAATTTTTGGATGTCATGGTTAAGAGGAGTAGAAGCACCTGGATTCGGGACCCACATGGGTATAAGTCCACATTGGGCATATTAAGACATCTTTTCACTCTCTCCATAAAGCCTCTGCTCTCGTCTCTGTATTTCTGCAGTAAAACCTTATTTGGAACATCCAAACGTAGAACACATTCTTTCTCCCGAGTGACAGTCTAAATTATGGGAGGCCTGGAAAAGCTTCCTTTCGATTGTGATTGTCACATTGGTTTCGTTTGCCCTCTTTTTGCTCTCAGAAGTGCTGAGATGCCCAGTGGGAGAGTAGAAGGAGCAGATGACCCATCATTTCCCTTCACTTACTAGATAACACAAGAGATTTGCTGAAGACTCTTGACAGGGGTCTTCAAACTTAGTTCTTTTATGACTTGTGGACTTCAACTCCTAGAATTCCTCAACCAGGCATTGCCTGCCAGAGGAAATCTGGGAGTTGAAGTCCACAAGTCATGACGGCCAAATTTGAAGACACCAGCTTTAAGCCATTAAACTGGCTTTCTGAGTAATAATAATTAGGTGAAGTCAAGTTGGTACTTACATTCCCATCACCATCAAGAAGGACAATACCAATGTTCTGTTCAAGTAACTTTTGGGATTCCCAAATTAGGGTGCTAGGAGTTGGGTTTAAACCCGTACTTTTTCCCCAAACCTGGAAAGAAATAATGGTACATAAGTTAACTACTATTATAAATGGTTTATGACGGATGTGAAAGCAAACATGCATAGTTCTTTTAGCAGGCTTACGAAGAGCAGCAAAATAAAGCCATTTAGTTCCCCCCCCCACAAGAAAGTAAGAGGAGTATTAGAATTGATACTCACAGTTACTACTTGACCAGCCTGAAGAATGAATTGAGCAGGAAATTTGTACATAGTGTCAGATTCATTTCTATGCTGCTTTCTAACCATCCATCCACCTAGTAGTTGATCCTGTAACCAAAGTTGCATTTAAGAAACAATTGACCTTAAAGCCCTGGTGAAAAAAAATTAATTTCTTTTGCCAAAGAATCCTAGAGAGTAGGTAAACATTTTGGGACACGTGTTCAAACTCATTTATTGATAGCAGTCTCATTTTTTATATTTCTATTTACCTTTTCCTCCAGAAGCTTAAGGCAGTAGCCTCGTCCAGATTTCCCCACCGTACAGACTTGTTGGTAAATTGAATTACGAGATAGTAACAGGTCTAAAATTGCCCAGTGAGCTTCTGCAGTTGAGAATGGCCTTGGTTTCTCCAGCCCTAATCTAATGGCTCGGGGATCTTCAAATCTGGCTGGCTCAGGAATTCTGGGAGTTGAAGTCCACAAGTCATAAAAGGGCCAAGTTTGAAGACCCCTGCAATAGCTTAAGCTTTCTCTTACATTTGACTTTCATTTCTGCCCTTATGTATCTATCCTCTTTGCAATCAATGACTCTTCATTCCAACAAAGCCACTTTAGAAGGGGCCTGGGAGAAATAGGATGTAGAGCCTCCCCTTTGTATTTTTAACCACTTCATGTCTAAGGGTGGCTCAATGGTTAAAGTGCGACATTGCAGGCGAACTCTGCCCACAGCCAGAAGTTTGATCCTGATGCGGCTGGAGGTTGACTCAGCCTTCCATCCTTCCAAGGTCGGTAAAATGAGGATCCAGATTGTTGGGGGTCAATAGGCTGACTCTGTAGACTGCTCTGAGAAGGCTGTAAAGCACTATGGAGTGATATATATATATATAAGTCTTAGGTGCTACTTCTATTGCTGTTGCTAAGGGTTCCGGGACTATGATCCCATCCCAGACTTGAACAATTATGAAGGAAACAAGTCAAGTCGTTATTTTCTTTCCAAACAAAGAAACTTTAGGTAGCCCTTGACTTCATCATAACCAGAACCAGAATTTCCACTGCTGAGCAAGTCAGCTGTTAAATGAGTTGCACTTTGATTTTACAGCCTTTTCTGCCATTATTAACCGAGTCACGTGGTTACGTGAATCTGGCTTCCCCCTTTGACTCTGCATTCCGGAAGCCAGCTTGGAAAGGTCACAAATGATGATCAGGTGACCCTGGGATACTGCAACCCTCATCAATGCATGCTAGTTGCCAAGTGCTCAAATTTTGATCACATGACCATGGCGATTCTGGGATAGTTCTAAGTGCAAGGACCGGTCTTAGGTCCCTTTTTTTTTTCAGTGCCGTTATAATTTTGGAACAGTCAATAAATGAATGTAAGTTGGACCCTAAGAAAGGCTGAGCGCCAAAGAATTGAGGCCTTTGAACTCTGGTGCTGGAGAAGACTCCTGCGAGTCCCCTGGACTGCAAGGCGATCAAACCGGTCAGTCCTAGAAGAGATCAACCCTGACTGCTCTTTAGAAGGCCAGATCCTGAAGTTGAAACTCAAATACTTTGGCCACCTAATGAGAAGGAAGGACTCACTGGAGAAGGGCCTAATGCTGGGAAAGATGGAGGGCAAGAGAAGAAGGGGACGACAGAGAATGAGGTGGCTGGATGGAGTCACTGAAGCAGGAGGCATGAGCTTCAATGGACTCCAGAAGATGGTAGAGGACAGGAAGACCTGGAGGAACGCTGTCCATGGGGCCACGATGAGTCGGGCACGACTTTGCAACTAACAACAACAAAGTTGAGGGGACTACCTGTGTTCCCGGAGTAACTTTTCCCAGAAGCAAAGAAACCTCCAGGTGTTTGAACATGTAGAGACAAATGGTTTTTACCTGATCGGAATTGTTTTTAATTTTGATGAATTTCCCTTCCATATCGATGTCCTCTATGGAGATGCTTCTTGAGGAGGAAGCTCGCTGGAGCACTTTGAAGCTCAGGCTGTGATCCTGTTTCTGGGCCAAGGCATGTTTGCGTTTCCTTCCTTGCGAGAAGAGGCGGTGGGTGTGACTTACGGTGGTCCAGCTCCCACCACGTCTCCTCTCCGATCCCCCACTTTCGGAGGAGACTTTGGAGAGGTTCAAACTAGCAAAGAAACACACACAAAAAAAGTCTACAGAGATTCTCAGTCATCCAGGTCACAGGTACCCCAAAGATGCTTCTTCACGCGGCAACTGGACTTTCTTGTTTTTCTTTGAAGATGTTTCACTTCTCATCCAAGAAGCTTCTTCAGGTCTGGCTGGATGGTGGGGAATGTCTTCAAAGAAAAATAAGGAAGTCTAGTTGCCTCGTGAAAAAGCATCTTTGGGACACAAAAAAAAATGCCAACCTTGGGGGGGGGGGAGAAAAAAGACAACTGGATTAAGAGAATATAGCTTGAATCAGTGTAGAAACCTAATGGTCAATCAAAGGAGTAGGCAACGGGCTGTTCTGGAATTAAATTTGGCCCCCACATGCTATCCATGTACAGATAGTCCTCAACTTACAAAATTTTACTTAGTTACAAGGGCACTGAAAAAAAGTGATTTACGGCCATTTTTCACACTGTTGCAGCATCCCTGCTGTCACGTGATCAAAATTCAGACGCTTAGCAACTGACTCAGATTTATGACGGGTGCAGTGTCCCAGGGTCACGTGATTCACTTTTTACAACCTTCTGACAAGCAAAGTCAATGGATTCCCTTAACAACCATATTGCTAACTTAACAACTGCAGGGATTCACTTAAACCACTGTGGCAAGGGAGGCAAAGCTCACTTGACCAATGTTTCACTTAGCAACAGAAACTTTGCGCTCAGTTGTGGCCGTTAAGTCGAGGACTATCTGTACCAGATTGTTTTCAACCCCGTGGAATCATGTTAGGCAAAGAGTCCCCTTCTCTTCACAATATAAACAGATTTTGAAGAACAATCTGTTCCTTCAGCATCACCTTCCTGCTAGCCATTTGCCTGCATTTCTGCCTTGGAACATGCACACAGCACATGACCGGTTGAGGAATTCTGGGTCTTGACGTCCCCAAGTCTTAAAATTGTCAATTTTGGAGACCTATCTCATTCATAAGGCTGCTTAAAACGTTACTTCTCTGCTGCTCACTGAGGTGAATGAGCAGAAGAATCCGAATTCTCTTAAACAGGAGTTGGTGATGGATGGAGGTGAAACTGGTTGACCTCCAGCTCTTGGTCAATTAAAAAAAAAAGCCTACTTATTGAGGGGAGATTTCCAAGCTTACCGTTTTTCTTCTCCCTCTAGCAACATCCTATAGGCACTGATCTCAAGGTCCAGGGCCAGCTTCACGTTCAACAGATGCTCATATTCCTCCAGCTGAGACTGCATCTGCTGGTGCATTTGCGCCATCTCCGTATTTTTTTCAGCTAGGCATCTTTTGGAAAAGTCACGTTCACCATCCATCGCCTTCTGCAGTTCGTTTATCTTAGTCGCCTGCTCTTTTATCCTGGCTTCCAATTCAGCATTCTTGGGTTTTACAGAAATGTTTTAAGGTTAGGCACATCAGGCTTGAGTGAGAGAGCCAAGGAGAGACTCATTCTAAGAGCAGACCGCTCTTTTAGAAGACCCAACAGACCCAAAATCAAAGCTGAAACATTCATGTTGGCTTTTGCTGATTCGATAGGTTTAGCTGTTATAGAAATGTAAGTCAAGACCTACCCATACTAGACAACAGTTTATTTAGTGACCATTTGAAGTTACAAGAGCGCTGAAAAAAATGACTTATGACCATGAAGGTCGCACAACAAAGTCAATGGGGAAGCCAGGTTCACCTAACACAGAGATGTCACACTCCATTTCATTGAGGGCCGCATCAGCATTGTGGTTGCCCTTGGGGGGGCTGGGTGGGTGCGGCCAGGGTGGGTGCAGCCTACTGGATGGGCATGGGTGGAGTGGGTGTGGCCTACTGGGTGGGCATGGCCAGCTCTACATCGTTGGCGTCAAGGGTGCCTGTGAGGGCCTGGGCAGGAGTGGGACAGATCTGGGGGTCTCTGGCAGAAGGGGGTGGGACCGGGGCAAGCGTCAAGGCATGGTCCATTTCTTCATTCCTCACAAAAGGTGACACCTCCCCAGCATGCACCCAGGGGGCGGGGCCAACGCGACAGGGGCTGGTTCCTCGCTGTTTCCAGATGGCCTTGTGGAGCTAAGACCGAATGTGTTTTAGCATAGATGGCCACCACAAAATTGTACATTGGCTCCCGGCCAGCATGGGCCGGGACCAAGGCAGCGGGGGACGTTCCCTCACTGTTTCCAGGATGGCTTCATGAGCCGCATTTGGCCCCCGGGCCTTGTGTTTGACATGTCTGACCTAACAACTGTCTAACTTAACATCTGTGGTGATTCACTTAACAACTGTAGCAAGAAAGGTTGTAAAATGGAACAAAGCTCACTTAGCAACTGTCTCACTTAGCAATAGAAATTGTGGTTGTAAAACGAGGGCTATCTATATATATATTCTTATCTAAAAGTAAAACGTGGACAGTTTATGTCGCTACCTTATTCTGCTACATCAAAAGGAATCAATGCTTTTTTTCTTTACGCTGCACCTTTTTCTCTTCCCCCTTTCCTCCCTTATTTTTCCCTTCTTTTTCTTTTTCTTTTTCTTTGCACTTCTGTATTTTATATTTTGATAAACTAATAAAATGTTCTTCCTAATGGAAGACCTAAGAGGCATCTTGCTCACTCTTGCGTATGCCTAGTTTGCTCTGGTTGTTTTTTGTTTAGTTTACCTGTGATTTGAGATGATCAACCTTCAGTTTCATTTTTTTTAATTCCTCTTGAACAGAAATAGCAAAACCCTGCTTCTCTTTGGCATAAACGAGTGCATTTTCTACCTGCAAAAATAGTATTGGTTAATAATAATGTTCACTGGAGCACATTCCTACCTACAAACAGGAATATAACTATTTCTAATCTTCAGAATGCACGTTTACCGTTTACAAACTTCCATATATTTGTAAATAAAGGCATGGGGTTTTTTTTCTTCGTGTTTTCATCCAAATGACACCCCAAAATTATCCCAAGGGACATTTTGAATTCAGGATTCCCCCAAACTTTTCAACTTGGTATGCCTCCTTGTCACTGTTCAGTGGCTTGAGGTTCATCTCAATCTTATAGAATGCTCTCCTGTATAAACTGTTGACCTCCAAATCTGTTTCTCCATTCATCCATCCCCAAATCATCCCCTTCAATGTTCCGTAGCTGAACTATGGATTTAATTACTAGACTCAAATCAACTAACCAGCTTCTGACTCCTTTAGATTAATAATGAAGAACCTATGGCCTTTAGAAGTTGCTGATTTTCTGCATTGTGGTGATGCTTTGAGTTTTTAGAGTTATAGATTTCTTGTCATTGGCTCCTCAGAAAGAAAGTGGCCCATAGAAATATAAGCTTTAAGTAGACAGCAGAACTTTCTCCCCCCCCCCCCCATTCCCTTAATTAAGAGAAAAATCTTCCCATTTAACTCACTCTGGCCTGGAAATTTCGTTCCACCTGATCTTTGTACTCGTTGATTTGCAATTCATGCTCTTTTCTCAGCTCTTGGAGAGAAATCAGTAGTTTAGCTTCAGATTCCTGCTGATGGCCAGATACTACCTCTTGAATCCTGCTCTCATATAATCGCTTCTTGTTCTTGAGTTCCTAAAGAAATTGTGTGGCAGAGAAAGAACTTTGTTAACCCTTCAATAAAGGTTTTAATCCAACAGACAACACTGGATTCCCCTCCCGTCCCCTCCCGTTCCTAACACAACACCATTCCAAAGTAGCACACAGTAGAATTTTCAATTCCACAAAGTCTCACAGGTGCTTTTTCGAAAGGCAACTTTGGGACTTGGTTTTTTCTTGAAGACATCTCGCTTCTCATCCAAGAAGCTTCTTCGGTTCGGTGGAAGATGGGATTTAATATTCCTGGTCGTTAGTACTCTTTCAGAGAATCGTTGAGGCCAACTCAAGAGGTTTATCTATGCCCTCTGGATTATCTAAATAGTGCAAATTGGGTGTGGAACCTTCTTGGAACTGCTGAGAGGACTGTGTTGTAGACTAGTGGTCCTCTTTGTCCAGAGTGTATACTTTGCTGTCTTCAAAAGTCCACATTCTGGACAGAGAGGACCGCTGGTATGAAAGAGGAGTCAACGAGGCCATCAGCATTAAGATTCAAGAGCTCTCTCTCAACGGGGGGGGGGGAAGGGGGATACGACATCACCTATCTCCTGTCTACCACACAGTCTTTTCAGCAGTTCCAAGAAGTTTCCACACCCATTTGCACTATTCAGGTGACCCGGAGGGCTCAGATAAACCTCCGAGTGGCCTCAGTGACTTGGAAAGAATGGTAACAACCAGATGACTACAAGAAATATAAATCCATCCGTCCACCACCATTCAGTCAGAACTGAAGAAGCTTCTTGGATGAGATGTGAAATGTTTTCGAGGGAAAAAAACAAGAAAAGTCCAATTGCCTTTTGAAAAGCACCTTTGGGACAACCATGGCTTGGATGACTGAGCATCTCCATGTAGACAGTCCCTCCCACTTTACAATGCCTTGCTAAGGCCACACTTGGAATACTGCATCCAGTTTTGGTCACCACGATGTAAAAAAGATGTTGAGACTCTAGAAAGAGTACAGAGAAGAGCAACAAAGATGATTAGGGGACAGGAGGCTAAAACATATAAGGAACAGCTGCTGGAATTGGGTATGTCTAGTTTAACGAAGAGAAGGACGAGGGGGGACATGATAACAGTGTTCCAATATCTCAGGGGCTGCCATAAAGAAGAGGGAGTCAAGCTATTCTCCAAAGCGCCTGAAGGCAGGACAAGACGCAACGGATGGAAACTAACCAAGGAGAGAAGCAACCTAGAACTAAGGAGAAACTTCCTGACAGTTAGAACAATTAACCAGCGGAACAACCTGCCTCCAGAAGCTGTGAATGTGCCAACACTGGAAGTTTTTAAGAAGAGACTGGACGGCCATTTGTCTGAAATGATATAGGGTTTCCTGCCTGAGCAGGGGGTTGGACCAGATGATCTCCAAGGTCCCTTCCAACTTTATTATTATTATTATGCTTATAACCTGGTCAAACTTTTGCCCTGATGGCCAGAAAAATCTATCACAAAAGTTATTTTTCCATTTCAATTGGGAAGAGCGCAGGGGAGATGACGCCCCGTCAAATTATTTGTACAAGTTCTGAAGCTGTAACGGAATAGATCAAGTTGGCATTTTAGACCGACGTACATACATTTTCATGGAAGCTCTTCAGAAATGCCTTTTGATCTTGGAGCGTTTTCACTTGATTTTCCAAGTCTGCACTTTTCAGCTTCTCATTTTGAAGTTCATTCCTGGAACTTTTCAGCAGCTCCTTAAGCTAGAAAAGAATAATAATAATAATAAAAATATTCACTATACTCAAAGAAGCATTTGCACTCTTTAAGTTACCCTAAAGGTTAGAGTTAGGATTTTAGCTAAGATTGAGTGTGAAGTTACTCTCATCACCTGTCTGTCAAGATCCACCTACTACTATAGCCTAAAGGTAAATGATCTGAAGTCGGTCTATTCCAGCAGATCATTTTAGGACGGAAAACAGCAGGCAGGCTTTTGTTATTCTTACTAATTGTAGATAAAACAAACATGCGTTGCCGTGTTTGTCAGCATGTAGTACTGATTAGGTTCACACCCTAAAATATGTAATGTAGTTTATTTTGGCTTGGTGTACTGTGCGGTTCTAGCCAACGATGTGTTATCAGGACATTATTCCATCAACCCAACCAGAACTGGTAATGTCATAAGCTATGGAGTACAAGCAACTTAATTAAGACATTGGCCTCAACAGAGATTCCTGTTCTAGCATGGATGAGATAGCTGACATCTTCTCATAAGTCTCTGAGATAATGAGTACACTCCATTCAAGGGGAGCGCTTAGGAAAGCAAATAAAGCTTACTTTTTTGAATGAGATCGGTTTTTTTTTTAAACTTTTGGTGCCATCAAAGTGTGCACAATTGTGGACCTCTATTTATGGGAAGGGATTTGACTGATGGCTGGGTATCTTTTTAAAGTTGAAAGTCCATTCAAGGTCAAATGGTAGGATTGTGAATACCCCTCCCCAATTATTATAGAAAAGTGTATGTGGACTTCACTCACAAAGGAAATCAAACCCAAATTCTAAATTTAATAGTCTGCTGATTTCCAGCTTAATTGAAATCATTCATGAACTTAATTCATAAGATAACTCTCTTCCTCTCCCCCCCCCCACATATAAAGGCACATGTTGTTGTTAGTTGCGAAGTCATGTCCGACCCATTGCGACCCCATGGACAACATTCCTCCAGGCCTTCCTGTCCTCTACCATCTTCTGGAGTCCATTTAAGCTCACGCCTACTGCTTCAGTGACTCCATCCAGCCACCTCATTCTCCGTCGTCCCATTCTTCTATTGCCCTCCATCTTTCCCAGCATCAGGCTCTTCTCCAGTGAGTCCTTCCTTCTCATTAGGTGGCCAAAGTATTTGAGTTTCAATTTTAGGATCTGGCCTTCTAAAGAGCAGTCAGGGTTGATCTCCTCTTGGACTGACCAGTTTGAATGCCTTGCAATCCAAGGGACTCGCAGGACTCTTCTCCAGCACCATAGTTCAAAGGCTTCAATTCTTTGGCGCTCAGCCTTTCTTATGGTCCAACTTCCACAGCCATACATTGCAACTGGGAAAACCATGGCCTGGACTATACGTACCTTTATAAATGCACATACATACATGCATATATAGGAAGTTCTCAACTTACAACCATGCATTTAGTGATCGTTCAAAGTTACACCACCACTGAAAAAAGTGATTTGTGACCGTTTTTCACACTTTATGACTGTTGCAGCCATCTCCAGGGTCACGTGATCAAAATTCAGATGCTTGGCAACCGAGTCGTATTTACGACGGTTGCAGTGTCCCAGGATTGTGGGATCACCACCTTTTGCGAACTTCAGATGAGCAAAGTCAATGGGGAAGCCAGATTTCACTTCGCAACCGTGTTACTAACTTAGCAACTGCCGTGATTCCCTTGACAAGCGTGGCAAGGGCGGTTGTAAAATGGGGGGAAAACACACTTAACAACTGTCTCGCTTTGCAGTGGGAATTTTTGAGCTCAATTGTGGTCGTACATCAAGGACTTACCTATACTGTGGGATCCAGAATCCCCCCATTCCGAGATGACAGCATAGCAAAATAAAACCCAAAGCAATATAAATATGCAGTACAGATAATAAAGACCAGCCCCCCCAATTTTAACCGGACAGTTGGGATTTCTCGTGAACAACCCCCTTACAGAGGTCGTCTTATCCTTGGATTCTTGAAGCTCTTTCTCTAAACTCTGCAGCGTCTGTGCCGCTGTTGCCAGTTCAGCCTCTCTGCAGGTTAGCCGGGCATCCAGATCCTTCGCTCGCGCAATTGCTAAGCTTAATTCATTTTCTTTTTCAGCGTTCCTGCAAACAAAGTGAGATGAATCAGAAGATGGCTTGGCATTTTAAGATACGTTCTTTAAAACAGCTTCAAGATAAAAGAGCCCCAATCTTGGTTTTGGAATTCTAGCTTATCACTTGTTTGGGTAGCACACTAAACCCTAAAGTTTGTGCACTGTTTATTTTGCTTGCCCCACGAATCCACTCCACGAGTTACGTTTAGGACGGGTAGGCAACCTTGGCTCTTTTATGACTCGTGGACTTCAACTCCCAGAATCCCTGAGCCAGCATGGCTCAGCTTGGAAACCTCTCCCTTTCCCCTCAGCATGGCTGGCTCAGGAATTCTGGGAGTTGAAGTCCACGAGTCATAAAAGAGCCAAGGTTGCCTACCCCTGGTTTAGGAGATTGTGTGAATTGGCCCTCTGTACTTATTCCACAAACCACAACTTAGCATAATACAAAGTCCAGCCTCTAAATGACTGAACATAAACTCCCTGAAGAAAATCAAGGCAGAGAGTTCCAATTTGACCAAGTTATATTTCACAAATCTATAAAAGAAATTTCAGTAGTATTGTCTATGACACACTGAACAATATGCTAATCAACCCCACAGTATCCTGTGATTGTACCATAAAAAAACCAGTTCCAATAACCAAGGTTAAATTAACCAGGATTGTACATTATGTGAGGCCAGCCACTATGTTCACTCTCAGAACCACAGGGATGACAAACTGGGCTGCTACTGCGTTGGGTAGGACAAATGCTAAATCAGCATTTGTGTCCATGGCAACTGCCTCCTCAGCAGAGAATCTTCAAAGGATAACTGGAAAAGAAAACTGAAGAATTTTGGCCCTCAGGGGCCACTATCCTTCAGCCAGCCAGCCAGAATATGCTTTCTGTTAAGCTAGGGCAGGGGTCTTCAAACTTGGCCCTTTTATGACTTGTGGACTTCAACTCCCAGAATTCCTCAACCAGCATGCTTGGCTGAGAAATTCTGGGAGTTGAAGTCCACAAGTCATAAAACGGCCAAGTTTGAAGACCCCTGAGCTAGTCAATCAGTAGAGGCATCGGCAGTGCTATTTGTATTTTATTGATAGCATTTCCAGCAGTTTTTAATAGCCCAGGATGATATATTGCAGTAATGTCAGGTGCAAACAACTGGATCCACCCATGTAGAGCTCAAGCTATTTTATTGTATTTTGTCTATAATACAGGAATCTCCCTAGACCAGGGGTAAGCAACCTTGGATGTTGAAGTCCACGAGTCATAAAAGAGCCAAGGTTGCCTACCGCTGCCCTAGACTGCTTGCCTTCTCTTGGGAACAGATAGGTAAGGTTTTATGAATCTTAGGAGGTTCAATCCAGGATCTCTTGTGGCTGTGCAATATTCAAGGCTTATCCCATCAACTTGAGTCCTCTTCCCAGCCTGCCTGTTGAGTGTTTTCCAACAAGCAAGCTGTCATGGGAACCCAGGCACTGTGGTTTTTAAACATGGTTTATGTGCTTAAGAGTGTCACAATTGTTTTAATAAACCATGGCCTGGTACAATGAAAAAGCAGCTCATCAACTTGATCCAGCCTAGATTTATTGAGTAAATTGCCAAAGGGTTCCCCCCCCCACCTCCAGATCCAGATTTTCCCTGCAGATGTCAGGAATTGAATCTAAGATGCCCTTATTATTGGCTCACGATCCATTTTTGATAAGAAAGCAACAAATATAATGGGATAATCTAGTCCTACCCTGATAGGTTAGTTGCTACGCACAATGGCTACATTCACACAATATTCTACGGCATGGAATATTAAATTAGCATTGATTAGATTCAAACCCACTAAAATTCTGGTGTGCAGATCATCATGGCTAGCCAGAAAACCCCATTCTGGTTTGGTGGGGCATTGCTTCTTTAAGAATGGGTTGTCATCAGATGGGATGGATAGCTGTTGATTTAGGTGTCCTTGAAACGGTAATTTTGAGAGAGGGATGGAAGGAGGTCAACTGAAGAGCATAGAATTGTAGAGCCTGCAGTCAATGCTGGACTTGTTAGTGTCTCCATGTTCAGGGACACAATACCTACAAATACTATGCTTCTGAGTGACAAGGAACCTTCAGGGCAGGGGTCTTCAAACTTGGCCCTTTTATGACTTGTGGACTTCAACTCCCAGAATTCCTCAGCCAGGCATGGTGGCTGAGGAATTCTGGGAGTTGAAGTCCACAAGTCATAAAAGGGCTAAGTTTGAAGACCCCTGCTTCAGGGTCTATCCTTATTTTCAAGATTGCCATTTGGGGGGGGGGAAGCTATTTTGCTAATATTTACCAACTCACAATGAAGTTATATCTGTTTTAAACAACATCGCAATTTGAAAACATTTCCCATTTATCTGTCCACAATTCTCCAGTACGGAGAGAGATTATTTTGTATATCCCAAATTGGCAAACCAGAAGCTGTAATTGCATTTGCCCGATTAAACAGCTAATGAGATAATCCTGAAATGCCTAATTCAAAAAAGGAATGATTTGAGTTTTGTTGCCAGGATTCAAAGCATATGCAAAGAAATTCAACCCAGGTATTTGCTTTGAATATTTATGTTACAAATACAAAAAACCTTCAGCCAGTTTTTATGCCTACTGGTAGATTGTGTCACTAAGCTGTATCTCACTCCTAGCAACCATGCACATTTTTCTCATGTGCCACTAAGGTGGGTCTTACTCCTAGCAGCCACGTATATTTTTCTCCTACACGTTCCTTCAAGCTAAGGAAGGCCTAGAACCCACAGCTACCTGGTTTCCACGCCAGCGCCTTAAGCCATCAAACAGGCTCTCATCCAAGTTATCCACTAGCCCTAGGGTGAAAATGAAGCAAAGGGTTTAGCATGTTGTGTGAACACGGCTTCCTTCCATTCTCTCTCTCCCCACTCCCCACCCCTTTTGTGGGTGTCGCTGCCGACCACCCCATTCTGCTAAAATGGGACCTGCGGCTTACAACGGAACTTGCTTTTTCGCACAACAAGGCCGGGCCAAGGACGCGTGGTGGTGGTGGGGATGAGCAACCGGGCCCCAACCTTGAGGCGTTTCACTTCTCCGGGAACCGCTTTGCCGTGGGAACCCCGGCCGTTGGAAAGCGCTTTTCCCCGGCGCCGGACTGACCTGGCCAGGAGCTGCCGCTGCTGTTCGCGCAGCGAGTCTGCCGCCGCTTGCAAGGCCGCCTCTTGCAACGCCCGCTGCTCCAACGCCCGGCGCGCCTTGGCCAGTTCCCTGTCGTAGCTGGTGCGCAGGGCGTTCAGGTCGCGGCTGCTGTCCTCCTCGCAGCGGCCCAGGCGGAGGTGCAGCGCCGCTTTGGCCGACTCCAAGGCCCGCACGCGCTGGATGTAGGCGGCCAGGCGGTCGTTCAGCAGCCGCAGCTGCTCCCTCTCCCGCAGGGGTCTCCGCAGGTTCTGGCTGCTGACCAAGGGGCTCAACTGGAGGTCAAGTTCCAGCCCGCTGTCCGTCTCCTGCGTGGAAACTCTGGCCGCGGCCATCGGGGCCGAAGACCCGAGCAGGAGATCCTACCGGTGATGCGGACTTGCGCAAAGCCGCCCTGCGCGCAGCAACGCACAGGCCCTTTTAAGGGGCCAGCGGCCGCGCCGGGAAGACGATGCGCCCCCGGACCTGGAGCTGGAGGACGGCCGAGGGGCATCTTTCGGACGGCCCTGCCAAAGGGCGCGTGGAAAGCCCCGGCCAAGCGGGGCCAAGCGCCCTGGGCGTTCCACTGGGGGCTCTGGAGGCTGGGTGCGCAACCGGCGCGCAAAAAGGAGGACGCGGAGAGGCGCCTTCGGTTGCCAAGACGCGGGCGCGCCTGGTCATTCATTTAAAAAAAAAAAACCCAAAGAAAAAGATGCTGGCACGAAAATGGAAGGCAGGAACTGTAAAAGGAGGAGGATGCAGGCAGAGAGTCCAGAATGGAACTGATGGGCTGGGACAATGGCTTGCTGGAGTACCCAAAGTGACTAACTTCCGGTGAAATGGCTGAAAATCCCAGAAAGGGGGAGAACCCAGTTGAGGAAGGAAGAGAACTGAGTTGGAGCGATGCGCAGGTGGTTCTCGACTTAGGACAATTGGGACCAAAATTTCCATGGATGAGGTAAGTGGCTGTTCAAAGAGAGTTGCGCCGGATTTTATGGTCTTTTTTTGTTGCCGTGGTTAAGTAAATCAGGGCAATTGTTAAGCGGATCATGTAGTCACTAAGCAAATCCAGCTTCCCCATTGACTGCTTGTTGGAAGCTGGTTGGGAACGTCACAAATAGCAATTGCATGACCCTGGGATGCTGCAACTGTTGTAAATACATTTGCGAAGTCGTGTCCAACCCATTGCGACCCCATGGACAATGTTCCTCCAGGCCTTCCTGTCCTCTACCATCTTCTGGAGTCCATTTAAGCTCATGCCTACTGCCTCAGTGACTCCATCCAGCCACCTCATTCTCTGTCGTCCCTTTCTTCTATTGCCCTCCATCTTTCCCAGCAGCAGGCTCTTCTCCAGTGAGTCCTTCCTTCTCATTAGGTGGCCAAAGTACTTGAGTTTCAACTTCAGAATCTGGCCTTCTAAAGAGAAGTCAGGGTTGATCTCCTCTAGGACTGACCGGTTGGATCGCCTTGCAGTCCAGGGGACTCGCAGGAGTCTTCTCCAGCACCAGAGTTCAAAGGCCTCAATTCTTTGGTGCTCAGCCTTTCTTATGGTCCAACTTTCACCTCCATACATTGAGTTTCAACTTCAGGATTTGGCCTTCTCAAGAGCAGTCAGGGTTGGTCTCCTCTGGTTGCCAAATGCCCAATTTTTTATGATATGACCATGGGGATTCTGGGACAGTCGTAAAGTGTGAGGACGGTTGCAAGTCATCTTTTTCAGTGCCGCTGTAGCTCCCAACAGTCACTAAATGAATGATTGTGAGTCAGGACTGCCTGTGTTTTCCAGCTTGCCCGATGAATAGAGTACTATAGGCTTCCAGGGAAAGGGGAAAAAAAAAAAAATCAGGGTTAATAAATTCAGCTGAGCAAGCATTCCGCTTGGCTTGTAAGAAGGCAAGTTCGCCAGTGCAGGGCCTTTGGAATAGCAATAAGTTGGAAAATGAAAGTTGCTATCAGCATCTTTGTGCAGCAGTCTTAAAGACACAACTGGGTGGTATCCCTTCCTTTGTCTTGCCCAATAACTTCCTGTCCCTTGCAAAAAAAGCACAAAAATGGCCACCAGTGTTAGCTTTTAAAGACCAGCTGCCTTCTTTTTCTTTTAAATTTAACCTTCGGGAAGGCAGAACATAATTGGGCTTTTATCCCCTATTATTTTCAGTGGCCTGGCAGGCATTTTGCACCTGCTGCCTTCAAAGGCTGGGCTTTGCTCTGCGTGGGCATCTCCCTTGTCCTGGCCACTGCGCTGCACAGCCTCAGGACTTAATCATTAAACTGGCTCCTAAAAAGCCGGATTTACAGCTGGCCAGGAGTGGGTGGGTAGAGCAGGCACTCTAGGTTGATGCATCGTGGCTCTGTATGGCTTTTTTGTTTTTTAGCTCTTGATGCCAGAGGGAGCAACAGTGACAGCTGCAGCTGCTAATAACCGTGCTTTGAAAAAATCAGTGGGGCAGTTTTAAGAGACATGCAGTAATCTTGGAACTTCTTCTCAGATATTGAAAATTGTTTCCTTCCTTGGAAATTAAGCTCTCTTCAGTTGGAGGAAAAGCATCCCAGATCCCAGCCTTTAGTGACTGGTCAAAACAAAACAAAACAAAACAAAAAACACTGGGATGAACACATACTAAAGCTATGGTTTTATCTAACTGGTTTTTGCAACATGCCCCCTACATAATCCAGTTAGCGGGCTTTTAGTTAATCACTGATTAGGGCTGGCAGATTGGGCTGCAAACATCCAGATGATCACTTGAGGGCAGCAGTGAGAATTGTTGATATCTGGGCTACCATCTACAGGCCAAGTAGGAATTTTGCAGCTGTGTAGTGCAGATATTGAAAAGTTACAATGGGGGTTTCATGCGTCCCGAGATCAATGACATACTTATCATGGTTTACCCTAATGTGGATTAATACGATCTTTTCCTTTGCATGCCTTATGAAACCATTCCTTCAATGGTCTGGGTCCATCCAACACACCCTGGCTTGTGTGTATGTTTAATATTTGGCTATCTTGTGGTTTAGTACAGGGGTCCCAACCCCCGGTCCATGGACTGGTACTGGGCTGTGGCATGCCAGCAACCGGTCCACACAAACAAGCAAAGCCCCATTCGTGGGATGCAGGCAGCACACAAAACCATGCACTCTCCGGTCCATGGAAAAACCTTTCTCCATGGCAATGGTCCCTGGTGCCCAAAAGGTTGGGGGCCTCTGGTTTAGTGTGTTATAGAAGTTCTAGTAAGTTTGATTTCAATGTTTAATTTAATTGTTCATGTGTGCCAGTGTGCTCACAGTAAAAAAAAAAGACAATAAAGGTTATCTTATCTATCTTACCTTAATTTTACAATGCCTTGCTAAGGCCACACTTGGAATGCTACATCCAGTTTTGATCACACGATGTAAAAAAGATGCTGAGACTCTAGAAAGAGTACAGAGAAGAGCAACAAAGATGATTAGGGGACTGGAGGCTAAAACATATAAGGAACGACTGCTGGAATTGGGTGTGACAAAGAGAAGGACGAGGGGGGACATGATAACAGCCTTCCAGTATCTCAGGGGCTGCCACAAAGAAGAGGGAGTCAAGCTATTATCCAAAGCCCCTGAAGGCAGGACAAGAAGCAAACTAACCAAAGAGAGAAGCAACCTAGAGCTAAGGAGAAACTTCCTGACAGTCAGAACAATTAACCAGTGGAACAACCTGCCTCTAGAAGCGGTGAATGCTTCAACGCTGGAAGTTTTTAAAGAAGAGACTGGACAGCCATTTTTCTGAAATGGTATAGGGTTTCCTGCCTGAGCAGGGGGTTGGACTAGATGACCTCCAAGGTCCCTTCCAACTTTATTATTATTATTATTATTATTATTATTATGGATCATCGCACAGTCAGCCAGATGTTCAGACTGGATTTGGCATTTTGTCTGCCTATCGAGTCCTTACCCAGGACCTGGGATAGGCAGATGTGGATGTTTTATTATTATTATTATTATTATTATTATTATTATTATTATTATTATTATTATTATTATTATTATTATTATTATTATTATTATTGTTATTGTTGTTGTTGTTGTTGTTGTTGTTGTTGTTGTTGTTGTTGTTATTGTTATTGTTATTATTTTATTGAAAAGTGGCAGTTCCTCCATACAAAAAAGCTGGGAGTGGGGTTTGCTCCCTTCTAGCACCGAGGATGTAACCTAGTTCGGGTAACGAAACGTCTGCAAGAAAACAACCAAACTCAGGGAACACCCAGGACCCTCTCATTTCAACCCCCGAGCTTCAAATATTCTCTTTCGTGGGTAGCCGCTGTTGTTGCACCTCCTCCGCTCGCGGTGACCTAGTCCTTCCACCAGGAGGCGCTCCTCCTCCAACGATAGCCGGCTTGCAATCCGGAGCCAGCTTAAAACTGCCTCGGCGCTTGGTTGGATTTTGTGGTTTCGCGATGCGTATTTTAAGCCTTTGGCGGCGGCGATGGGCTAATTAGATATTGTCGCGGTTGGCTGATCTCGGGGCCGCGCCACGCTTTCTTTGGCCCCTTCCAGAGAGAGAGAGAGAGAGAGAAAGAGAGAGGGAGGGAGGGGGAGAGAGAGAGAGAGAGAGAGAGAGAGAGAGAGAGAGAGAGAGAGAGAGAGAGCGCTACTGGCAAAGGGGCCACTTCCCTCCCTCCCAGGTGGAATTGAGGCTAGGAAAGCAAAGTTTAGAAACTGGGAAGGAGTCTAAGCGCCTTCGGCTAAGCGGAGCTTGTGCCCGGAGATTTGTGAGCACGCGTGGCGGCTGGCTGGCTGGCTGGCAACTGGTCCTTTTCCGTGGGATTTTCTTGGATGCAAAAACGGTGGTTTTTCTTACAGAGGCGCCCCTCCCGGGAAACAGGTAAGACGGGGGTGGTGGTCGTGATGGTACGGTCGTTTGGACCGTTCCTCTGTTTTCTGCAATAAACATCAAACAGCAGAAGGTACAAGTGGCCCGGGGCTGCTGGGGGCTGTGATCCGGCGGCCTCGCTCACGGAACTGAGGCTGGCCACCGGAGTGCATGGACTGGCTTTAAGTCCCCAGAGGAAAAACGGGACTAATGCTGTGTAGACAAGGAAATACATCTGGTCAGAAAGCGCCGTCTTGGGGATTAGCAGTTGCCCCCTGCCCGCCCGTGATATTGCCTAAGTTATTCCAATTTTATTTTTTATTCCTGGAAACTTTCGAGAGAGGCAGGGTGCGTTCACACGTGAGGGTTTTTATTCAGTCTTTTTTTTTTTTTAATTGAACGTGTCAAACGTGTCGGTGTCGCTCTCTGTATCTCTTCATCCTTTGAAATCCGCGAGATGTAAGTTAGAAAGCAGAACGGTTTCACTGGGTCAGATTCCCCCAGGTGAGCAAAAGGTGGATCCAACTCAAAGGCTCAGGAGGTGTGACGTCAATGCGTTGGAAATGTCCGCCACCCAAAAGGGATACACTCAGTCGTGTGTGTGCTGGATTGGATGCAAAAGGGCCTTTGGAGCCAGTATGTGAATGAACTGGGCCGAAAACCCTGAGCTGTTAAAGACAAAACTCTCCATATTAGACAAGCGCCTGGATTCCCACATGCAAATTAGCACTTCTTATTGAATCCTTCCTTCCTTCCCTCCCTCCCTCTCCTTCCTTCCCTCCTTCCTTTCCCTTCCCTTCTCTTCCCCTTCCCTTCCTTCTTTCCTTTCCTCTTTCTTTCTTTCTTTCTTTCTTTCTTTCTTTCTTTCTTTCTTTCTTTCTTTCTTTCTTTCTTTCTTTCTTTCTTTCTTTCTTTCCATAACTCTGCCCACTGCCAGCAGTTTGATCCTGACTGGCTCAAGGTTGACTCAGCCTTCCATCCTTCCAAGGTCAGTAAAATGAGGACCCAGATTGTTGGGGGTAAATATGCTGACTCTGTAAACCTCTTAGAGAGGGCTGTGAAGCGGTATATAAGTCCTAAGTGCTATTGCCCTCCCTCCCTCCCTTTCTTCCTTCCTTCCTTCTCACTCGCCTTCGCCTCGGAGGGAGGACGTAAGGCTGAGAAATTGAGAGCTTTCTCAGCTCCTGCGTTGTGTCCTTGCCGTATGAACACAGTTGAGACTACAATTGATGTTGCTAAGATAGAAAACTCGTTAAGGGATTTTTTGGGGTCCCATTTTATGACGTTTCTTCCCACATTTGTGAAGGGCATCACTGTGTTTGTTAAATCAGTAACAGGGTTGTTAAGTGAATCCCCGTGGCCTTGGCTCGTCAGAAGGTGGCAAAAGGTGGTCACGTGACCCTGGAGCACTGCCACGGTCACAAGTAGGAGGAATCGGTTGTCAAACCCTCCAGAGGAAAATCACGTGACCAATGGGGATGCTACAACGGTCATAAGTGTGAAAAAGGGTCACAAGTCACTTTTTTTTGCAGCGCCGTTGTCGCTTTGAACGGTCACTAAACGAGGACTACCTGTAGCCTCTGAGCAGGCAGAGTGTGCCATTAGTTTGAGAGACCGCGACGTTCATCCATGGCTGACTGAGCCACGAAACCCCAGCGGTCTCAAGCGGGGGCGGACGCTCTGCGTGGGTAACAGCGCCAGAACCGGGGGGGGGGGCTACTTTTCTTTCCCTCTGCCCACAGGCCCGCGCTTAACCCTCACTAACGGAGGCCAGCATGGCTGAATTAACTCGGCTGGGCTCCAGGCTGGGCTGCTGCAACCCTCTGGGGATCCTCCTCCCCTCGCCCCCTCTTCTTCGCCCCCTTTCATGCCATCCCAGTCAACCGGTCAGCCCCCCCCACACACATTGGGATTCGCGTCGCGCGAAATCGGCGCGGGGCTCCCGAGGCGGCTTCTGGGCTAAAAAGGCACCCAGGGGCGCGTTAAGCGGAATCCACCCACCCCCACCCCACCCTACCCCTCTTTCCCACGTTCCCGGGAGCCGACGCGTGTAAGCCACCCCTTCCTGCATTCCCAAGCAAGCCGCGGGTCACCGCTGGCTCCAACCGCGGATTCCAGGGCGGGAAGGCTGCTGGCGGGGCGTGGGAGGAGGAGGAGGAGGAGGAGAGTGGCTCGCGCGCGCTCGGTGGCTCGGGTTTCCACGCGTCCTCGGGCGCGCCAGCTTGCCTGCCCCGGCTCGAGCGCGCAGCTCCCCCGAGAGGCCCGGGCGGAGGGGGGCGCTCGAGAGCCGCCCTCCCGGTGGCCGGGCTTCCCAGGACCTCGGCTGGGCGGTGGTTTGTAGCCAGGCAGGCAGGCAGGCAGGCGGGCGAGCGAGCGAACCCTTAACCGTCCCGCCTGCTCCGCTGGAAGGGCGGGCACTTGTTCGCCTGCCAGCTCCGTTCTGCAAGCCCGCGGCGACGTCCCAGGACTGCTTCGGACCGTCTGCGGACCGGGGGTCCCCTCCTGTCCCGCTGAGGAGGCGCCGAAGGAGAGGAACCGCCGGACGAGGTGGGCGAAGGGGGCGGTGGCGGGCAGGGACGGGGCGCAGCTCTTCTTTTCGCTCGCTTTCGCTTTGGGGAGGGGGGGAGGGGTGGACGCCACCCCCCCCCCGGGAGGCTCTTTTGCCTCCTTCAGTGTGGTAGTGAAGTAGCCTCTGGGCATGTGGAGAGGGCCATTAGCTCGAGGTCTGAGGAAGGAGCTGGGTGGGGTAGGGGCGGGGAAGAACCAGGCTCGCCTTTTCACTTAGCCAGGGAACCCCATTGGGTGACCTGGCCTGGTTTTAAGAGTCTTATTAATCCTTGGTTTAGATTTGCCCAGAGCCATGAGTTGCTGGCTAGCCAGCCAGCTGCATTTCAGTCTAAAAAGTTGGAGAAAATCACCCTAAACTCACCTGTTTCACGAGGTTGTTATGTCCATAAATCGAGGAAGGGGAGGCAGAGCTAGCGCCTTGAACCCCTGGAACACAGCAGGTTGTGCATATAGCTGAATAACTGCAGGTTGCAAAAATAAACAAACAAACAAACAAAAAGAAAACGACAACCGGTCAAAATATACTTAGCAAAAAGTCTTCCAAACTATTCACAGCTGAGATCATCATCCATTACACTAAATTGTAAGGTGGATTGCTAGCGTGTTGTGTGAACTTAACAGTTGCAGGTTGCAAACCACGGATTGTGGCTTTGTGGTAAGGCGGCTGAGGCAGCAGGAGCTTAATGCGGTGGTGTTGCGCGCAGCCACACTCCCACTAGTCTGCCTGCCATTCTACATTATGTAACGTACATCACAGGCATTTTTGCATCCGATCCCATTTCAAAGGCAGTGGGATGACCTTTGTTGGCTTAATCCCTGCTGTGACACAGACACTTTGTATGGAAGAAATGCAAGGGAATGAAGTTCCAGTGGCATTGCAGACTCAAATTTTACTTGGCCCCAATTTCCAAACCCTTATTTGGGAAATCTAATCAATTTTGTAGCACTACTTAGAAAAACATACATGTGTAAGTATCTCAGTGCAGGAACAGTTTTTGTTTTATTTTTTTAAGTCTGAAAGTGGGATTCTTACAGTGTGGCGGTTGACCAAACCAGATTGGCAGAGATAAACTTGGCAGTGTCTTTAATCAAATCTAATTCACATATTTTTCGACTTAAAGTTTCCTTAAAGTGATTTCTCTGGACTTATTTGGTGTACTTACTTTGCACAAGGTGGCATACGTGGGCTATGTTTCCACACCATACACATATTAATCGGTATTCTGTGTTGGCATTTGTACTGTTCAGATTAACTGTTTCTGGATTTGCAAAAAGTGCCGAGGGATAAACTAAATATAGGAGCTGTACTTAAAACCTGCCAAGCCATGAATAAAAAAAAAGCCAAAATTGAAATTAAATAAGCACAGCCTGTGGTACACAGGTAGGTTTTTAACCGATCTGGTTAAGTGCATTGAGTAAACTCAACCACACAGCCACAAACTACATTGGTTGGATTAAATGTGCAATCAACCAATCAATTTTGTGTTTGCATAAATCCAATCATTGTCGGCCTTTTGAGGTAAGCCAGGACAGGAAAAGGACATGATGAGAACTTCTGGAACTTTACTTTTATAGGGCATAATAACAATCTTGAAAACCCAACAGATCTTTCTTGCGGCATCTTCTTCTTCCCAAGACAGACAAGTTGGGTCAATTTTGAGTTTCTTCCTCAACCTCCTCCCCCTGCTTTCTTTATAGACTGAGGAGATGTTTTTGTATCAGCTGCTGCATGCTTTCTTCAAGATTATCACTGTTGTCCTCCTACGATGAGGATAGTCTCCTTTTTGCTCTTCACAACAAACTTGTGAGACAGCTTGAGCGAACCACTGGCTTCCATATTCAAGGAAGGATTTAATACCATGTCTGACGGGCTTTGATCTAAAACTAGCCACTCTGATGCCTTTGATTTATTTATGCATTTTTTCTTTGGGGGATTTAAACTGTGTGGACAGAAGATATTTTGGAAGAAGGCTTTATCTGCAGGGAAAGTATTAAATCTCATAAAAAGGAGGACTAGGAAAATAGCTACCCTGTTAAGCCCTTATGGCTTGATCTTGGTTACTTGATGTTGTTGATATTGGTGGCGGGGGCTTTCTTTCCAAGTTGAGCTTCAATCTGCTTGAACATCGTCGAGCTGAGAAACTAAACAGGGATGGGCCTAGTTTAAATTTGGATAAGAGAAGTATTTCCAGAGCTGTAGATTGAACGGGGAAAGTGAACAACAATCCTGAGCAAGGCCATAGCAAACTACTTTCATATTCTTTTTAAGAGAACTCTGTAAATATGTCTTGAATTTTTTTTGGAGGGGGTGAGGGCTATGTTTGATATGGGCAGTACTCCGAATGGTAAATATTTGAGGTAAGCCTCCATGTACAGATAGTCCTCAGCTTACGACCCCATGTGAGCCCAAAATTTCTGTTGCTAAGGGAGACAAGTTGTTAAGTCAGTTTTGCCCCATTTTGCAACCTTTGAAGCGAATCTCTGCAGTTATTAAATTAATAACGACGTGGTGAAGTGGCTTCTCCACTGACCTGGCCAGAAGGTCGCAAAAGGGGATCACATGACCCCCTTGGACACTGCGACTGTCGTAAATACGGACCAGTTGCCAAGCGTCCGAATGTTGATCACGTGACCACGGGGAGGCTGCAACGTCCGTAGGTGTGAAAAACGGATCACCAGTCGCCTTTTTCGGTGCCGTTGTTAAGTTGGAACAGTTGTAAGTCAAGGGCTACCTGCACGTCTTCTAAATCAGTGGTTCTTAACCTTTTTGAACGAATCGCCCCCTTGAGCCAATGAGGAAGTGGTCATCGCCCCCCTCCCCCAACATAGCCTCTCAATCACACCATAGAAAATAATTCTTCAATTGATGCAAACATTTTTTTTTGTTTTCTTTAAAATTGTCATATCGATGCAAATAAGTTATTTCCAGTCTTTTCCCCATATCTCCCATATTCTGACCAATGGCGCGCCACTGTATGGGTAGAGGCTGCTGTGCAACGCGCATGAAGATAAGCGATGCATCTTCACATATGTACGGCGTTCTGTACTGAAGCTAGCTGGAGGAACATTTGAAAACACAATTCAATCCACTAATAGCGAGCGATCTGATGTTTTTGTACGACAGATAGGCAGCCATTCACTGTACGAAAAAGTCTCAAAAGTGTCCCCAAAACTTCTCGCTCCATCGCCCCCATATCGCCCCCTTTTCGTTCCATCGCCCCCCTGAAAAATGAAATCGCCCCCTGGGGGGCAATATCGCCCAGGTTAAGAACCACTGTTCTAAATCAGTTCAAGTCACTGGGAACCAAGTTCACCTCAAGCTTTTTTCAGGCAGCTTGAATCCCTGAATTTAGGCATGTTCATGTTTTGGAAATAAGCAGCTCCTGGACGTGGCGCTTAAAAAGCACAGTTAGTCTCCATCCTTCAGCACCTTTTGCAGTGCTGGCACGACCAGACAGGCATCCACCCTGGGCACGTGGACGGAAGAGAAGAAGCACAAGGGCTTGATCTGAGGCTGGCACTGCCTAGTGTTCTCGTCCCCTTTGAGCAACGTTGCAAACCCCTGTAACATCACGAAGGTGGAACCCTGCCAGCCGGTTGGCTAAAATCAGGAACTTCTTGCAGTTAAGTTTGGGGGGGGGGGAATGCTTTTCATAGAAAGGGAGAGTAAAACCAGCAGTTGGTAAGTCTCTGTGCGTAACTCTCTGCAGACTTTTTTTTTTTTTTTAAACAAAAGAATTTGTTTTGGCACAGCAAGAAAGGCAATGTGACTATGCCCTTTGGACAAAAAAAAAACCCCAGTAAAACAAAACATTGAAAGATCCTCTGTTTCTAATCCACAAAACAATCCTGTGCGCTCCCCCTGCCCCGCCTCCCCTCCTTTTTTTGCAAAGTTTAGCGAGAGCTGTTGTTTTTTCCAACATGGCTTGGATGTTTTGGCAAAGGCGGCTTAAAAGTTCTGGCCTTTGCCTCTTTTTGTCGGGAAGCGGGGCGAAAAGTGTTGAAATAGCGGAGCAGGTTTGATTTCATTTTTTTGGCTGTGGGAGAGGAGGGGACGGAGAAGGACTCTGTCTCGATAAACTGGCGGAAGGAAGGAGCAAGGGGAAAAGGCTGGGTCCTCTTGCCCAAATTGCAAGTCTCTCGCCTTTTATGCTGGACTCATTTTGTTCCTCGCGAGTCTCTATTCCTGGCCAGGACAAACCTCCGCTGTTTAGGCTGCGCCGTTTCCAGGGACTGGTTTGGACTCCTCTCCCAGTTTGCTTTAGTCCTTCAATTTCTGGCAGGGGGCACTTGAGAACTACGCATACCGACCTTCAAAGTCCTTTTCTGCTCTTTTCAAGGTCCCAGAAGATGGCCAAGGCCAACATCCCCAGACGGCTTGGGAAGGTGCTTTGGTCTGCTGTCATTTCCATCTGCGTCAGTCTGCAGGTAAGCCATGGATCAGACGAGGAAAAATGAATATAGCATCATGGTTAAAACCCTGGGCGAGGACCAGGGAGTCAGTTTGCAGGGCCGACTCAGGTACCAGAAATCTAGGACTCTTGGAAATGTATTTTTTTTTAAAAAAAAAAAAATTCAGAAAGAACAAAAACAAAGTAAGTTTGATTTTATTAATAACATTTTATTTTATTTCGGTTAATATTTTAGGAAGCAAATTAAGCAAGTCAATTAATTAAGTGACTCAGTAAATTTTAAAACTTTTGTTTAAGGACATGTTATTTTATTTAAGAGATTGCTGATGCAGACCTCCCTAAAGCCCCTGCCTCCGAAGGCAAGGATGGAAGAATGAGGCTGGGGATTATGGGTCACACATTCCTTCCTCTTTCAAAAGGCATCTAAAAATTCTCACCGAAGAGGTTGCTGAATTATTCTTTGTACCAACTTCCCTGCAAATTTCTTTATCGTACCCTAGAGGTTTTGGTCAGCCAGACAAACATGAAGAAGAAATTATCATTTTTTTAAAAAAAACTCACTGACTTGTAGTTACGTCTTCCTCCAAAAGGGCACAGAAGCAAAGGCTGAAGATTAGATACAGAATCTTTCCCTGTTACCCCAAAAGACAGTTATGAATTTGTCAAGCAGACTCTTTTGTGAAACATTTAGCCATATCTTTGACATACTTCAGCATTGACAATGCTAACCGCAAAGCTTATGCAAGTCTCTGCGCTTTTGCTTTTATGAGTAATGGTAGCCTTCTAATTAGTGTTTTTGTGATCTAAACAGCTGTCACCCCTCCTTTTTTTTTTGGCAGAATTTACATGGGGTAGAAAAGAGGGAAGCTGAGAGTCCTGCTTTAGAAGCAATTGAGTAGTAATGTGTTTTTATATGGTAGAATGTTTCCCCCCCCCCTTAAAGTTCCATCGAATACTAACAAAGTGGGAATCAGTTACCACAATAAAACTGCTTATTTGTTTAAGGCATTTGCCAGGCCAATATCAATAGTGGAAGACATTGAGCAGCGAAAGGATTTTGAAATATACAGCATAAGGTTAACATGAGGAATTGGCAAAACCAGCAAGCAGATTTCTGCCTGAAAACTACTTGATTGAGTGCCTTCTAAAATTGCACGGTCCTCATTCTTGTAGAGCAGTGGTTCTCAACCTTTTTAATGCCGCGACCCCCAACCGGTCGTAAGTCGAAGACTACTCAACCGGTCGTAAGTCGAGGACTACTCGACTGGTGCAGCACCCGTTTGCAGAATGGGACTTTTGGCGGACTCAGCAGGGCAGAGACAGCCTGGACAATTCCTATTGGCTTTTGAAAGCCAATAGAATTAGACTCTATTCAAGAGAGTCTATTCTATTGGCTTTCAAAAGCCGATAGAATAAAAGGGAGGAGCACAGCTAAGGAAAAGGGGGAAAAAATGGCGGACTGCATGGTTTGGCGACCCCCGTGAAATGGTCGTTCGACCCCAAATGGGGTCCCAACCCACAGCTTGAGAACCACTGTTGTAGAGCATACCTGTGGAGTCTCAAAGGGGCTTTTTCAAAAGGCAGCTTGACTATGTTTTTGTTCTTGAGAATATAACAACAACAACAACAACAATAATAATAATATAACAGTAGTAGTAGTCGTAGTAGTAGTAGTAGTAGTAGTAGTAGTAGTAGTAAGTAGTAGTAATAGGCGCCTTGGTTGCAGTCCCAAAAGATCTGGAGCACCACTTGAACACCATTGACATTGACAAATTCGCCATTAGTCAATTGCAAAAGGTGGCCTTACTAGGAACTGCTTCCATCCTGCGACGATATCTGTGATACCATCAAACATCCACATCTGCCTGTCCCAGGTCCTTGGGAAGGACTCGATAGGTAGACAAAAATGCCAGATCCAGTCTGGACATCTGGCTGACTGTGCGATGATCAACAACAACAACAACAACAACAATAATAATAATGTTGGAAGGGGCCTTGGAGGTCATCTAGTCCAACCCCCTGCTCAGGCAGGAAACCCTACACCATTTCAGAAAGATGGCTGTCCAGTCTCTTCTTAAAAACCTCCAGTGTTGGAGCATTCACAGCTTCTGGAGGTAGGTTGTTCCACTGATTAATTGTTCTCACTGTCAGGAAGTTTCTCCTTAGTTCTAGGTTGCTTCTCTCCTTGATTAGTTTCCATCCATTGCTTCTTGTCCTGCCTTCAGGCACTTTGGAGAATAGCTTGACTCCCTCTTCTTTGTGGCAGCCCTGAGATATTGGAAGACTGCTATCATGTCCCCCCTCATCCTTCTCTTCATTAAACTAGACATACCTAATTCCAGCAACCGTTCCTTATATGTTTTAGCCTCCAACCCCCTAATCACCTCAGTTGCTCTTCTCTGCACTCTTTCTAGAATCTCAACAAATACCTGTAGAGAATTCTCTACAGATGTGGATAAAGGGCCCATGAACTGGGCTTCCGAGGCTGGTGAGAAAGAGGCTATTGTCACTCCTACTCTGACTGCTTGCCTTACCTAAGAGCGACGTACAGTAGAGCAGTGGTGGGATTCAGCCAGTTCGCACCACTTCGGCAGAACCCGTAGCTAATTTTTTGTTGTCCAGGCCCAGAACGGACTTCTGGAAGCGGCATCCACACAGAGAACCGATTGTTCACCTATTTGAATCTCACCACTGACGCAGAGACTAGCAAGGGAAGAGAAGATAGATCCCCATTGCTTAAGTATGGATCCATGGTGATGCTTTTTTGGGTGTGACTCTCTGCAGCTCTCCACTTGGCTCACAGTCTAGCTAATTATGGGAAATGTTTAAAACTTGGCCTCTTTGTTTATTCCTGTTGATTTCAAGATGACAGATCGTCATGCAGCTTGCTCTGGACCTAGTGTGAAGCTGCATGATGTTCAGGGTGCTTGAGAGTGGATATTTAGGTACAGTGATGAGTTAGAAAGCCTCTTTATTAGTGCAGAACAAAAATTGTAGAAGAACATTGATACACACTGAAAAAGCTGTATCTGATTTACGTTCAGTGTTGCTAGAAAGAATAATACAATTATACTGGAAAATGATCTCTAGAGAAATATGGTTTCTAGGACACATACAGCTAGTTATGTTTCCAAATGCATGGAATGTGAGTTAACCCAAATGAATTGTAAAACAATGTTCAAAGTGCCCTTAAGGCTGTCATTACAAGACAGTTGCTAACTGTTAACTGTTGGTATTTACCATCAAGATGTGCAATTTCCATTGCCTGATAATCTTATAGTATTGAACTTAACCGTGCCAAAATTCTGGCCGATTAAGAGGAATGACTCAAGATTGTTTTTCTGCTGCCATGACATATATCGTTCTGCAAGATTTTTACCAGCTGAAGAACAGCAGTGGCCAAAATGCTACTATAGTTTAGAACAGTGGTTCTCAACCTGTGGGTCGGGACCCCATTTGGGGTCGAACAACCATTGCATGGGGGTCGCCAAACAAGGCTGTCCGCCATTTTTTCCCCCTTTTCTTTGGCCATGTCCCTGGCACCCAGTGATGTATAAGTGGTTGGGGGTCACCACAACATGGGGAACTGTATTATGGGGTCGCGGCATTAGAAAGGTTGAGAACCACTGACTTAGGGTTAGGGTTAGGTCACCATGAACACATAGAGCAAAATGGACCTCGCCAACAAATTGGGAGTGCTTGGATATGGTTAGGAGGGCACTGACTTTTCTAGGCTGACCTATCTATGTTTCCTGGTAAAATACATGGGAAAACGCCATTGGAGGAAAATTCCACTTAGGGTTAGGGTTAGGTCACCACGAACACATAGAGCAAAATGGACCTCGCCAACAAATTGGGAGTGCTTGGATATGGTTAGGAGGGCACTGACTTTTCTAGGCTGACCTATCTATGTTTCCTGGTAAAATACATGGGAAAACCCCATTGGAGGAAAATTCCACTTAGGGTTAGGGTTAGGTCACCATGAACACATAGAGCAAAATGGACCTCGCCAACAAATTGGGAGTGCTTGGATATGGTTAGGAGGGCACTGATTTTTCTAGGCTGACCTATCTATGTTTCCTGGTAAAATACATGGGAAAACCCCATTGGAGGAAAATTCCACTTAGGGTTAGGGTTAGGTCACCATAAACACATAGAGCAAAATGGACCTCACCAACAAATTGGGAGTGCTTGGATATGGTTAGGAGGGCACTGACCTTCTAGCTGCCCTATCTATGTTTCCTGGTAAAATACATGGGGGGGAAAAACCCCATTGGAGAAATTCCACTTAGGTAGGGTACGGTCCCATGAACACATAGAGCAAATGGACCTCGCAACAAATTGGGAGTGCTTGGTATGGTTGGAGGGCTCCTGACTTTTCTAGCTGCCCTAAGTCTATTTTCCTGGTGAAATACTGGTAAAATCCCTTGAGGAAAATTCACTTATGGTTAGGGTTTAGGTCACCATGACCTCAGAGAGGAAAATGGACATTGCCAACGAAATTGGGAGTGCTGGGTATGGTTCGGAGGGCACTGACCTTCTAGGCTTCCCTATCATGTTTCCTGTAAGATACATTGGAAAACACCCCATTGGAGGAAAATTCCACTTAGGTTAGGGTTAGGTCACCATGACACATAGAGCAAAATGGGACCTCGCCAACAAAATTGGGAGTGCTTGGATATGGTAGGATGTGCACTGACTTTTCTACGGCTGCCCTATCCTATGTTTCCTGGTAAAATACATGGGAAAACCCCATTGGAGGAAAATTCCACTTAGGGTTAGGGTTAGGTCACCATGAACACATAGAGCAAAATGGACCTCGCCAACAAATTGGGAGTGCTTGGATATGGTTAGGAGGGCACTGACTTTTCTAGGCTGACCTATCTATGTTTCCTGGTAAAATACATGGGAAAACCCTATTGGAGGAAAATTCCACTTAGGGTTAGGGTTAGGTCACCGTGAACTCAGAGAGGAAAATGGACATTGCCAACAAATTGGGAGTGCTTGGGTATGGTT